TATATCAGCGACTTGAAATAAAGTATTTTTTATAAGAAAAAAGTCTTTTGGAGTCAAAGATTTTAAAATAGAAATACCGAAGTTTTCCAATTTATTGCCAAAATTCAAATTAATCGATAAATTTTATCATTAATACACTTTAGTAAACCTGATAATTAAGGTGACATCAATAAAATTAAACCCTAAAATCTTCTGTTTGATATTCATAAATTTATCCCTTCACTACGGAAAGAAACCAAGCACATTGAGAGTATTTTGTTTTCACAGTTGAAAAGGAACTCCAACTAAAGACATCCCAATTGAATGTACAAATTCCATTGTACATGATAATGCTGGAGTATCAAAAGGGACTTACATAACATTGAACATGACAGACAATCAAGAAAGAGGAAACTTTTACCATAGTTCTTATGTTCACGAAGGTTTTATTTTTGCTGTTAGTTTATTAAATGATTTGATGAAAATACTTGTTGGTCTTGGTATATTCAATCGTGTTATTTTTCAAGACTTTGGTCTGATTGTTATTAAAAAAATAGTATTTCTCAATAAGCAGACCAAAATTTGTTGGTTTAATTACGAATTGAGAGGTTTCTACAACTTTATTTACAGAAATATTGCCATCGATCGATATCATATATACAGAAAACAAATGAAAAAAAATGTCCCCCCTCCCCAAAATGAGGCATTTCTGTACAGGAAAAACGGTAAATAACTTTCAGATTCAACGCCCTAAAATTAGGTAAAAAATATGTTTAGTGTCTTGACGCCATTTCAAAAATTGTCTTCTGTTGACTAATGTTAAAAGTTAGATAGGATATATTTGTTAAGTGTATAAATGGCGTCGAACATTTTTTCAATTTTGGATAAGACCGACGTTAAGCTTATCCAATACAAAATGAAGCGATGAATAATAATAATAATGTTTCTCACTGAATGTTTAAAGCTGTCTCGGTGGTTCAGCGGTAGACTGCTAATGAAACGACATCAGCGCCAAGGAGACGGGACATATGGCTAAGCAGTAAAGATCCAATCAGAAAGAGGATCAATGCCGGTGGGCAACAGCTAGACACAGTAAGCGCTTCAATTACTTTGGTGCCGCAATTAGTGAAAAAGGAGTCATAAGTAAAGCACTGGCAAGAGGTGAGCAAAAAACTAGCAAAAGGAAAACTCATATTGCGATTCTCTAAGTGTAACTTAGATATGTCACAAGGCCGAAAGTAGTTATTTTCCAAGCGTAGCTCAGATGTGGTACGAGGCCGGAGGATCGAACTTACTACTCAGTTGTATTAGGTTGGTGCAAAAATAATGACGTAATAATGTCGTTTTTTGACGTATTTTTTAACGTCAAAAAACGACATTATTACGTCATTGTTTTTGCACCAACCTAATAATTGTCCTAGCAAGACAAACTTGATAACCATTATACCACGCCAAGGTGCTCCACGGCATGCATATGTATGTGTGGTGTAGTAGTAATGGTAGAGCGTTAGTAGTTGAAAAAATGAATAAGTATTAAAGTTTTCTTTTTCAAGTAATTCTTGTCAATATTCTTCGATTATGTTATTTTAAATACTTTGTGTTAGTTTCATTTTTTTTAAAGTATTTTTTTTTAATTTAGCCTTTTTTTTTTAAAGAAATTCTCTTTGATTTTCTAAGCTTAGCTCAGATGTGATACAAGACCCAAAGTATAGGGCAGTCAGTGCGGATCGAACACGCTACTCAGTCTAGCGAGACAAGCTTGCTAACCATTGCAACACCAAAACATCAGTCTGGGAACAAAGCTGTGACTCTTGCATTCACTCCTACTCGAATTTCTTTTTTCTTCTTTTTTTTTTGACCCAAAAGAGAAGTGACATTTGAAAAGACCCTGGCACCGACAAGAGAGTGAAGTGAAAGGGAATCTGGCTCCGAAAAATGATTGCCAGTTGAAATGAAAACCGACACCTAAAATTGAAAGGAAGCATAGCACCAATAAAAAAAAACTCAAAAATAAAAGGAAACGTGGCTCCAGCAAGAGAGCTGTCAAATGAAAGGAAACATGGCTCCAATGAGAGAGCCGTCATCTTAAAAGAAACATGACTCCAATATGAGAGCAGTCAACTGAAAGGGAAAATGGCTGCAACAAGACAGTCGTCAAATTAAAGCAAATTATGTCTCCAATATGAAAGCTGACATCACAAAGGAAAATGGATACAGTCCGTGAGCTACCAACTGAAAGGAATCATGGCTCCAATAAAGGAGCTGTCAACTGAAAGGAATCATGGCTCCAATAAAAGAGATTTCAATTCAAAGTAAACATTGCTCCAGTAAGAGTGCTCTCAACTCAAAGGAAAATGGCTCAAGTAATATAGCTGTCATCTGAAAGGAAACATGTGTCCAGTAGGAGAGCTGTCACTTTAAAGGCAACAATGCTCCAATAAAAGAGATGTCAAATGCAAGGAAACGTGGCTCTAATAAGAAAGCTGTCAACTCAAAAGAAACATCCCCCGAAGCTGTCAACTGAAAGAAAACAGGCCCAATATATGTCATCTGAAAGGAAAAATAGTTTCAGTAATAGTGCTGCCAACTGAAAGGAAATGTGGCTTAAATAGAAAAGCTGTCAACTGAAAGAAAACTTAGCTCCAATAAGCGAGATGTCAACTGAAAGGAAACATGGCTCCAATAAGAGAGGTTTCAACACAAAGGAAACATGGCTTCAATAAGAGAGGTATCAACACAAAGGAAACATGGCTTCAATAAGAGAGGTATCAACACAAAGGAAACATGGCTCCAATAAGAGAGGTATCAACACAAAGGAAACCTGGCTCCTATAAGAGTGGTATAAACACAAAGGAAACATGGCTCCAATAAGAGAGGTTTTAACACAAAGGAAACATGGCTCCAACATGGCTCTAATAAGCGAGATGTGAACTGAAAGGAAAAAATGCTCCAATAAGAGAGGTTTCAAATAAAGGAAACATGGCTTCAATAAGAGAGGTATCAAATAAAGGAAGGCAATAAGAGAGGTATCAACATAAAGGAAAAACATGGCTATAATAAGAGAGGTATCAACACAAAGGAAGCCTGGCTCCAATAAGAGTGGTATAAACACAAAGGAAACATGGCTCCAATAAGAGAGGTTTCAACACAAAGGAAACATGGCTCCAACATGGCTCCAATAAGCGAGATGTCAACTGAAAGGAAAAATGGCTCCAATAAGAGAGGTATCAACACAAAGGAAACATGGCTTCAATAAGAGATATGTCATCTTAAAGGAAAGTCGAATTAGATGTCAACTCAAATGAAACATTCCTCCAATGAGAGAGCTTTTAGCTGAAAGGGGAAAATGCCCCAATAAGTGAACTGTGAACTGACAAGAAACATGGCTCCAATAATAGAGCTGTCAACTGATTGAAAGAATGGTTTCAATAAAAGAGCTGTCAACTGAAAGGAAACAAGGCTCTGATAAGTGAGCTGTTCACTCAAAGGAATCATAGTTCCTATAAGGAGCAGTCAAACATAAAAATGGATTGTATAAGTGAAGTATCAACTGAATGAAGAGAATGCTTGAATAAGAGATCTGTCAACTGAATGGAATCATGGTTCCAATAGGAGAGCTATTAAATGATAGAAACATGACTCCTATAAGAGAGCTATCACCTCGAAGGAAACATAGCTCTAGTAAGAGTTGTCAAGTGATAGGAAACATGGCTCCAATAAGAGAGCTCTCAAGTTAAAGGAAACATGGCTCCAATATGAGAGCTGTGAACTGAAAGGAAATATGATTTCCATAATAGAGCTTTCAACTGGAATCAAAGAGTTTTCATCTCAAAGGAAACGTGGTTCCTCTAAGAGAGCTGTTAACGCAAAAGAAACATAGTTCTAACAGGAGAGGTGTCAACTGAATGGAAACATGTCCCCAATACGAGAGCTGTCATGTCATATCAAACAAAACATGGCTCCAATAAGTGAGGTCACAATTGGGTAGAAACGTCTTCAAATAACAGAGCTGTCATTTGTAGGAAACATGGCCCTTGCAACAAAACGGTCAAATGAAACGATTAAAAAACATTCGGTTATGATGCTTGTAATTTTGTCTGGATCCGTTCCAATGAAACATATAAAGATGGCTTCCGGAACGAAACAAGCAAATTTTCTTCCCTATTAATTATAGAAATTCGTATATTTAGGGAGGTTTTTTTAAAAAATTACAAAAATGGGAAGGAATTTTGGCAAGATGGAGTGGTAACTTAAAGAATTGGTAAGATGTTATACATGATAAGAAGTAAAAAATGGACGCACAAAAGACATTTGAACCAATTAAGGAAAAGAATCATTGAAGAAATAAGTAAAGAAAATGAAGAACCAATGGAGGTATTATATGATTTATTCGATATACCAACTCCACCAATGCCGGGAAACAGTTGTCCAAAAGAAGGACAAGCAAAGAAAAGAACTAGGGTGGAACGTTTAAGTCCAGATCCCAAAGAAAAAAGATATTAATTCCTCCGGAATTAATCTCAGGGGGAGGTGTTGTGTCGGAAAACCACCCCTCTTGAAGATGAACTTGTCTGCGTCTGTGAACAAAGACTTTAAATAGTGGCATGTCAGTTGACATGAAAAGAAGACAGATAGACAGAAGTTCTTAGCTGAGCTAGTTATTGACTACTCAGGCGATTTCTGTACCTTTTTACCAACCTATTAAAACCCTTTTTATTGTTACGTGTTATTTGGCGTTTGTCTCTACTAACCCCAAATCAACATCATAACAGGAGGTATCAATCCTTAGCCCAGAAGTCAATATACAGGTAGAAATTGACATTTTGCACACTTTCCTCGTCGAATCATCATCGTTTTGATGAAATTGAATCACTTTTTAAACTAATGTCGTATGTTATTATTGAGGGGGAAAAAAGATTTAAAAAAGTTAAAAAGATTTATTCGCAAAACACTCAGTCGGATTAGTGAAATAAATAAATAAAAAAACTTTCGATGACAAGGCCTAATCATGGTTTAAGGCCACATCATGTTAAGACCCCAGTTCCCATACGATCAACGAAGTTAAGCAACGTCGAGCCCAGTCAGTACCTAGATGAGTGACCATTTGGGAATATATGGTGCTGTAAGCTTTTATATACGGGTAATATGGCTTACGGCCACATCACGTTGAAACACGAGTTCCCGTACGCTCACCGAAGTTAAGCAATGTCGAGCCTGATCAATACCTAGATGAGTGACCATTTGGGAATATATGGTGCCGCAAGCTTTTATATACGGGTAATATGGCTTACGGCCACATCACGTTGCAACACCAGTTCCTGTAAGATCACCGAAGTTAAGCAACGTCGAGCCTGATCAGTATGAGTGACTATTTCGGAATATATGGTGCTTTAATCTTTTATATACGGGAAATATCGCTAACGGATACGTCACGTTGAAACACCAATTCTTATACGATCACCGTAGTTAAGCAACGTCGTGTCTGATCAGTACCTAGATGAGTGACCGTTTCAGAATACCGGTTGCTATAAACTTGGATGATGTAATGGATAACGGCTTAGACTGTTGTTCTTTTTTTTCACTAACTGCCATCTCTCTTCAGAATGTAGGTAATCATGATCCTCCACAACTTCCCATCCTTTATAATTCTTATTAGAATTTAGCTTTTCACTTTCCCTCTTACTCCTTTTTTTTACCATTCATTTACTTAAGCAACGTCGAGCCTGGTCAGTTCCTAGATGGGTGACAGCTCGGGAATACCAGGTGCTGTAAGTTTGGATGTGCGGGTGGTGTAATGGATGACGGCTCTGAATTGTTCATTGGAGAGCCGAGTTCCAATTCCAGTTGGGTTCGTTATATTCACTTACGCGCAAATACCCTTGGAAGAGGTATTAATCCACATCTTCTAACTCCAGCTATGGGCTAATTAGTAGGTATCTCAATTAGTATCCCCCCCACCGCAAATTCTTACAATCTAAAATATTTTCTGGCTTTAAATAACCTGTAAAGTGCTGATAAGTCATAAAAATTAGACCAATCAATCAATCATTTACACAAGCTTGTCAGATAGGTTTCTCGAAGTTTCCCTCTGTCCGTCTTGTCTGTGAGTGTCAAATTTTCCGAGTCCTCTTTTTTCATTCTGTGCCCGAGAAATTTCAACTGTCGCCATCTGATTTGAAGTATAAACGTCCGATTTTGTTTTCATTTTCTTTAAAACTTCATCGTTAGTTATATGCCCAGTCCAATAATATTCTCATTATCCTTCTGTAGAACTACATTTCTATTGTTTTCTGTCTTCTCTTCATCAGTGAGGAAATTTCCCTTAATTTACTGCCATATCGGAGAATTTGTATTCATAATAGTTCAGCACTCTTTTCTTTGATTTCCTGTTTCTTAATACTTTTCTTAGCTTCGTACTTTTCCTGTTCCTTAATACTTTTCTTAGCTTCGTATAATACTTTTTGGTAAAAGTATATTTCGCTATTTCTATGCGCATTTGGATATCTGTCACATGCTTTGTTGTTTTGATATTGTCCTGTCGACCAGATAGTGAAATGTTTACGCTTGTTTTAACGTGAATGTCCCCAATCTGTAACTCACACCTTGAACTGCCCATTTTGCTTACTAACATACGTTCCATCTTCTTAAATGGTTAGTTTATTAATAAACCACGAGAATATCCACACACTCATGTTCCATATATATCTTGAAGATGGAACAGAGCTTACTTTAACACAATTTAATTCAAATAATTATATTGAAGTTTTCGGCTCTTGTTTTTGAAACATGAGACTTCTTATGTCGCGAGTTGGAATCATATTTTAAATAAATAATTATATATATATATATATATATATATATATATATATATATATATATTAAAAGGTTAATGATCAGAGTTGAATCAGGCCAGACATTAGTATTAAGAAGTGCTCAATACACGTGTGAAAAAAATAAAATAAAATAAAAGTAACATGTAGAGATTTAAACTTTAAAAATCAGGAGGTCAGTTGAAGACGCTAACTTGCTTTCAACCTTACGGTATCCTCAGGCGATTTTTAGCAAATGACCTCTTAACGCTTTATTTTTTTTTTAGAAATTAATTAACGGTATATTATTATTTTCAAAAAAGAAATAAATAAACGCACGACATTGAGTGTAAGAGAAAGAGAGGAGGAGGAGGTGAAGAAGGAAGGAGAAGGAGAATTACTTTTCTTCTTCTTCTTCTTCTTCTTCTTTCTTCTTTTTCTTCTTCTTCATTCTTCTTCTTCTTCTTCTTTCTTCTTTTTTCTTCTTCTTCTTCTTTCTTTCTTCTTTTTCTTCTTCTTCTTCGTCTTCTTCTTCTTTCTTCGTCTTCTTCTTCTTCTTCTTCATCTTCTTTCTTCTTTTTTCTTCTTCTTCTTCTTCTTCTTCTTCTTCTTCTTCTTCTTCGTCTTCTTCTTCTTCTTCTTCTACTTCTTCTTCTTCTTCTTCTTCGTCTTCTTCTTCTTCTTCGTCTTCTTCTTCGTCTTCTTCTTCTTCTTCTTTCTTCTTCTTCTTCGTCTTCTTCTTCTTCTTTCTTCTTCTTTCTTCTCCTTCTTCTTCTTCTTTCTTTTTCTTCTTCTTCTTCTTCTTTCTTCTTCTTCTTCTTCGTCTTCTTCTTCTTCTTCCTCTTCTTCGTCTTCTTCTTCTTCTTCTTCGTCTTCTTCTTCTTCTTTCTTCTTCTTTCTTCTCCTTCTTCTTCTTCTTTTTTCTTCTTCTTCTTCTTCTTCTTCTTCTTTCTTCTTCTACTTCTTCTTCTTCTTCGTCTTCTTCTTCGTCTTCTTCTTCTTCTTCTTCTTTCTTCTTCTTCTTCTTCGTCTTCTTCTTCTTCTTCTTCTTTCTTCTTTTTTCTTCTTCTTCCCCCTCCTCTCTCTCTCTCTGTGCGGATGTATATATATATATATATATATATATATATATATATATATATATATATATATATATATATATATATATATATATATATATATATAAAAGGTGTTCAATTAAGACGGATTATATATAAGGGTGTTTCATTAAGATGGATCAAAATCAGCAGTAAATAAATCAGTGTTATTGGTGAAAATTTATTTATTTCTCTATTGGATTCTGTTATTTAAGTCATGTTATTTAATGTCCTTAGCAACTGGAAGAATTTAGAGAACGCTATTTTTCATACAGTTTCAGTTGCTAAGGACGTTTTGATATTATTAGTTACTTTGTTTAATAAATTCATTTCGGTTCGCCTTGAAAAAGACCACGTCGGACGAAACGCTTCGGCAACTATTACAGTTTTTCTATTGTCTTTTACATTTATAAATATTGTCTCTTTTTCTGCAGGTTAACTCTGAGAAATTTTTCATATATATATATATATATATCTATATATATATATATATATATATATATATATATATGTCAAACAAAATTGAAATATTGTTTTTAAGTTCTTTTGTACTGAATGTGTTTTTAATCGATTTCTCCCCATGCAAGGCAGTAAAGCCACTAAGACACAAAGGGGTTACAAGTTGTGAAAGAATTAGGAACAGAAACATTAATAATGAGTTGGAAGAGAAAAGAGTGATCAGGAGGACAGCAGATAACAATTGCCATAGCATTTAAATTTTTGTAGATTAAAGTTGGTTGGAATGCATGGAGACAGAATGGAGTTGCACAAGCAAGAAGTGTGAGAAAAGTAACTGTTAGTATAGAATTAAACTAAGCACAACTAACTATATTAGGGTGAAAAACTTTTGTGAAATTTACCATTATTCTGGTCTCTATGTTTTTGTCCAAATCCATGAATTTCTCTTGCTAAATCCCAAAAATTCAGTATTTTTTTATCCATAATGTTGAATGTGTTAAATTCTTCAGGTTTCTAACAAGAAAAATCTCAAGTTCATGTTAAAAATGAATCAGGCGAACAGTAGATAGCGACTGACACTGCATTTAATTTTTTTAATATGAAAGTTGGCTTATCTACCAAATGACGTCATCGCCCACCTGTTAGACACTTTGTCTTTTCAGGAAGTGCTTTCCCAGAATTCCAACCAATGACATGAGTCATGTGTTAATAATTTTCAAGTGACCTCTTCTTGACTCTTGATTGATTCTACGGACAATCAATGTCTCATGGAACCACCAACCACTTCCAACCAGCTTTTCTGCTACAGTAGACATCGATACGAATCGTTTCCCTTCCGAACTTAACCTGTATATCAAAGTAAATTAAAGTTGAATATCTATCCCCAATTGACTGGTTAATGAGAGCAGCTGATCGATATTAGATGACAGAAACTTTCTGTTAGAAAAGAGAATATAGGCAAAACATATTTGGCGAAAATGAAGATTCTGGTTTGTCTGAATTACTCCATAATGGTATTGTAACGAGATTTGTAGCACCACAGGTACTGCAAGAGCAGCAGCGGCAGCAAAGAGTATGTCTAGCACAAAAGAGACGGAGAGAGTTCATCTTAATTTCGTTGACTGACCAAAGACTAGAGGCCCCAGTCTACCCTATTATTTCGCTCATAGCTCTAGGAGAGGAAATGGTGAGTTCTTGCTTTACCAAGATTATTAGTGCAAAGAAAAGGCTAACAGCCATGAGTGGAATTTGAACTCCACCTGTCAATTCCTTTTTTTGTGCCGATATCCATAACGCTAACAGCATTTCATATATATGGCATGAGACGGTCTAGAGAGATCTTGGATCTGCACTCAAAAATTTATGCCCTGATTGCATATATATGAAATTGTAACAGATGACGCGCAGCCATCACACACACAGACACAGACACACACACACACACACATATATATATATATATATATCATTCGCAGTCAGTACTGTTTTGCCGTATCACAGCTCATCAGTGCTCAGTGCGACTAGACATTCGAATGCCTCAAACCAGGATCGAAACCCATCTGAGTTACACAGCTAAATCTAGCGTATTTTTTATGAATGCAAACAAATAGAAATCAGCCGAAGTGATCCATTCATTTTACTGAAGAGCTTTGCATTAGCGCAGGTAAAAGATTTAAGTCAGCCAACCTTATCCTCAAAAATAGCAACACACCAGCTAAGTCAAAATTACAAAGAACGAACATTATCTATGAGTTCAAATGCCCTTTAAGGAACTATGTTTCTGATCAAACCGGACTCATAAATAATTACATCGGTTACACAACCACATGCTTATCTAGACGTCTTACGTTACACCTATCTGATCACAGCTCCATTAGAACCCATTTAAACACACACACG